CCTCTTAGGAATTTTTGTCTACAGTAATGTACATTTCTTTTAGAATTTAAGAACAAAGGGTTTGTGCCGATTCATTTATTTATGAACTGGACAGTTCGTGGCGCGAGTCTCGTTGTGTTGTGATTAATGATATTTCGCACACATATGTGATAATTTTTGTATTTACTTTGCATATTACCACGTTTGCATTTAAAGTTTTGATAATTTTTCAGTACATGCATGTACGCTCAAAAAATACTCATCAAATATTAGTATGAGATTTTTTTATAAAACCGAGACAAGAAACTGAAAGCATTATTTTCACCTGCCATAAAGATAAATTGTTCCTATTCTCGTAACTACATGTGAGAATCAACTTTTTTCTCATCACCTTTTTGTTCTCAAAATGTCTCATCCCAACCAATTTATCAAATGGGAACCCCTTATAGAAAACCATCCAATCCAAACGATGTGATGAATTTGTTTTTGCGTATCTGTTAATCGACTTAATTAGTTGATTACGAGTGAACGGCTGTGTTATGTCTGGCATCGTTTAGGCCATTTGAGGTTCTGGACGGAACTCGACTCAGTGATTTGGAACTAATTACGAGATAACCGTCGCTATTCGGACTACTATTTCTGACAGTTAGTATTCGCAATTATCAATGTAGTGAACGATTAATCAAAAGATATGACGTATTCAGTACTTAGTTTGATTGGCTGTATGATTGAAGGTTACGCCCTAGAGTCTTTTTACTGCTTTGTAATTGGTTAGAGTTTTGAAAATGAATAAAGAGTTTTTAGTTGGTATTGGCGAATACAGCACGACAGACGCAGTGCAGTCCTGGAGAGTCTTGGGTCAGCATTGCGATAGTCTTGGGGATTTTTCCCCAGGGCGCTGTGTCTTATAGAGTGCTCGACTGATCGACTAAGACGAGAGTTGAAACGTATTTTGCTGTGTTTCTTATTTGACTGTAAAGTTTAAGTGACGATTCCCGATCCCGTACCTCAAGGGGACGCGATAGAGAGACGAGACGAGATTCCCCCCTGACAAGTGTGGAGAACCCGGAGTAGAAGATTTTCCCCCTGATAACGACTTGAAACGTCATCTAACCACCCGTAACTTTTTAAAACACACGTGCTTGCCGATCAGGTAATTTGCTCAAACATACAGTACAACAGGGCGGACTTTTAAAATAATTTATAAAGATTTTGTTATATATAAGTACATTGTATATAACGGAATCGATGTGGAGAATTGTCCATGGTAATTCCAAACAGTCTATAACTATTTGTGAGTGTGTTGTTTGCTGGAGAGTTTGCGTGATACAATATCAAGAACACCAGTGAATTATCACCCAATATAGTATACACGATGTATCTAAAACACAAAATTACCCCTAAACGCATCTGTCATGGTCAGGCTACAATGTCAGATAACTTGGTGAGCATGTTTATACAGCTGTCGAATTGACAAAATAATGGCCAACACTCAACTACGAAGATATGACCAGAGTAGTGACTTGTATATTCCATTGGAGGGGGTGTAGCCTATCTGCTCATTGTTACATTGAAGTGAAATGGTGGCACTGGTAGCATCTAATACATGCTCTTTGAATCTGGTATGGTTATTGTGCCGATTGAAAGTAGGAAATGATAGCCATGACCAGTATATGCCATCGTACCCAGCCTTCAATTAGGTATGCAGTACAGATACACCTGTTACAACTGGTACAATGCCTATTCTCCAGGCAACTTTGTTAAGAAAACCAATGAGAGGTTCAACCAGGTATTACACGAGGAGAGAGGTATATCGTAATATTGCTAAACATCTACATGAAGATGATGATGAGTGATAGTCATCAAGCAAAATATGATGAAACTATTGCATGGAACTTGATGACAAGTTCAGATTTAGTTTCATTTTTAATATGCAGTAAAATGTCAGAAATTGGTGACGATAGTGGAAATAATGATGAAGTGGGTGGTCATGATGATTAGAAGTTGATATTACTAGCCACTAATAATGTTATTACTGATGAGATACATGAAGACCTTTTGTCTGCAAAACAGCATTGGTGTGAAGCTGGTTGCTGAAACTTTAAAATGCGTTTTGTTGAGAAATATATATCTTTGCTTGCTTCATTTAAAAAAAATCGAAAAGCATTGCAAATCTCGATTAATCGTAAGTCAGCACAACAAGCAATATCAACAAATCTAAAAGACTTCTAATTAGTTAAGGTTGTTCAATGTTCAGAAATCAGCTCGAGTTGTAGATATGTTAAAGATTAAAACTTGAACTTTCTTGTGTGCACTAACTAGTCTGATCTACTTGGAATTCTAGCTAAAGATATAAAGACTTATTCGAGTCCGACAATAACGTGTTTG